TTACAACATACAGGAAAATCACACAGTACCAAGAATCATGGCCTAGCCAAACTGATACACACATTTTTGAGGGGACATAATTCAGACCATGACACCATCCTTGCCTTTAAGGAGCATTCTGGCCGTACTTCTTCCAAGACAGGTTTGTTCGTTCTTTCGGCAGTCCATGGTATATTCAATATTCTTCGCCAACACCATAATTCAAAAGCATCAATTCTTCTTTGTTCTTCCCTATTCATTGTCCAGCTTTTGCATGCATATGAGACGACTGAAAACACCATGGCTTGGGTCAGGTGCACCTTAGTCTTCAAAGTGACATCTTTGCTTTTTCACACTTCAAAGAGGTCTTTTGCAGCAGATTTACCCAATGCAATGAGTCTTTTTATTTTTTGGTTTCTGTCTGTATTTTATATAAATGAAGCCTATTGTACACACTATTGTGTATGCTGATTCGTTCACTTTGTATTTTAATAAAAGATTTTTTTTTTTAAATTTTGTTTTATAAGTAACTTTATGGAGCCATGGTGGTGTAGTTGTTAAGTGCTATGGCTGCTAACCGAAAGGTAGGCAGTTCAAATCCACCAGCTGCTCCTTGGAAACCCTCTGGGGCAACTCTACCCTGTCCTATAGGGTTGCTATGTGTTCGAATCGACTCAATGGCCACGGGTTTGGTGTTTTTTTTTAAAGTAACTATGTATGATTGTAGTGTCAGTGTGATCCCGCAACTTACTGGTGCTTCATAATCCCCCTAGCCATCTCCTTGTTGCTGAACATCCAGTTTGCTGCCAGGTTTTACTATTGTAAATATGACTGATCATCGTAAGTATTTTAGAATATGCTTCCCAACTTGTAAACACAGAATCAGAGAATATGAAATCTTTTAAAGCTTCTGATATATCTTGGCCTTTTCTCCCAGAAATGCTGCCAAAACTAACACTTTCAGCAATAGGATATGAGTGTCAGTTGAACCATACCCTCTGAACATCATCTTAACCTTGATCAGCCAATGAAGCGTATTCTTTTGGTTTCCCTTCATATTACTCCCATCATGTGTCAATAAGCTGCAGTTAACTGAGCCAAGTGCATTTTATAAGCATGATTAGAAGCCATTGCTTGACTCTTCAGCCTATTCTACTGTCAGATAAAAATGCTGAAAGGGGACTGGGATGATTGAATGTTTTTATGATCAATGCCTCCTTTTCCCCAAATGTAGATTACATTCACTCTATCACTGTCTGTTGGGGAATGTGGTTGACGTTATTCGCTCTGATAGAAAGGAGTAGTAAGCATGTTATACATTCATGTTAAATACTGATAAATGAACAAAAGCATTTTGGGGTCTAAATTACCCAAATCATTACTTTAATTTACTCTCCTCTTGACATCTGATGAGATGGTCTAGCTGCAGATAAGTAGTGATCTCCTACTGCCTTTCTCTTATTGACGATAATACCCTAACCATTCTTTTTCTAAGACAGTGAAATATCCCCATACCTCCCCAATATGAGTAAAACATCTTTGATGGGCCTAACTTGCTTGCAACTCCATCCACAATAACCTTATCAGCATTTGGGGTTGAAAACTGTTCTTGACCTTTATGCTTCCAGCTTCATAAGGACTAAAAGTACAAAATGTAAAACTTTAAATTCAGATGCTACAGAAGTGTCCTATCATTTGTTTTTCTGACTTAGATTTTCCATTTTAATGCATTATAACTTGGTCTTTGGTATCAAGATGAGACTTAGCCACCTACCTAAGGAAGAGATCATATCGTATATCATCATTTGGGTTCCCTGATGGGGTGGTGTAGCAATAATCCATTAAGACATTCCATCTGCAGAAGGAGGTAAGCATAATCTAGATGAGAATTTACTTTTGGGTGTTAGTGAATAATCCAAGGAAATAAATATTGACAAACCTCTTACAAAATGAAATGCAGTTGTATATTAGTTGCCATTTGCAGAGGCTTCTTGTTTATTAGAACTTTTTCCTAACCTCAAGTTGTTTAAAAGTCTGCAACAAAGAATTGCCATCCCCACGTCAAGTGGAGTTAAGGCGAATGCCTCAAAGATATTTGTGCTAACAGTATTAAGATATTTGCGTGCAAAGCAATTGAATGGTCAAAGTTTGAAAAAAACAAAACTCAAAAGTGAGTTACTTAGATGCTTTGTTCACTGTGAACAATAACCCTTCGTTTCTAGACGTTACTGTCTCTAACAGAAGACAGAGAATGTTATCATTCTAAACACAGCACAGGAGTTTGGGACATAAGTTAGACTGTAAATGTTGCCACAGTCAGTGGAGGGAATGTGGGAGTACAATACAGACACTGGGTTTAGGTAGAAGAAAGGCCTGAGGCAAACACAGCCTTCATCCTCAAGGCCGGAGTGTGCCTGGATTTACACACAACCTCATGCTAACTCTGGATGTTATAAAAAATAGCATGTAACCAACAGGAGGTGATTACCAAGAAAATGAAAAACAATTCTGTATTTAGTGAAAAAAAAATTAAGGAATCACATATTCCCAAAGATGATATACCAGGAGAAAAGAAAGAGAAAAGGTAAAATAGAACCTAATTTTTGGACTATACCAATTTCTTCAGGATGCAAAATGAAAATAATAATGCACACAGAAATGCAAAATAAAGCATTTACAAATGTGCCTTTTTAGTGCAGCGCTGGATCTTCAGCTTTTGAGTTCTCTTTCAATTTTGACCAGACTGAATTTCCAAAGTAGACAATGGATTTTGTCTTTTTGCAGAGATGTTTCATGGGATAGATTTATATACTTCTGGCCCAGATCCTTATTCAGAGAGTTCTTTCACTTTTTATTAAATGAATATTGAAGATTAACTTGCATTCAGAAAAGTGCACAAATCATAAGTGTTCCCAAAGTGGCCACATTTGGCTAAACATTTCTCAGAAAAAGAAATAGAACATTCTGACATCCCAGATCTCCACATGCCATTTCCAGTCACTATCCCTCCTTCTTTATGGGAAGAATTCTTATTTTCCAATTAATGACATAAAATGAGTGTCATCCCTTAATCTTTGCCATTTGTTTTTTCTGTTTATTAGCATGCCTAAATTGAGTGGCAATGGTAGCATTTTTTTAATTGAATTTTAAAGTGAATGAGCTAACTTTATGATTCATGAGGCTTTACAGCAACAAAATGGTTTTAACCAACAAAAGATAAGCATATAAAAATACCTGCCATCCAGATTAGTGGCTTGTACAGCTGCAAATACTTTGGTTTTCAAGGGTAATCCTATGCTCGGGATAATTAGCTGCTCTTCGTAGGTTGAATCCTAATGATGAAAAATCATCAAAATTAATCTATCATATATCCCTTTACCTCTTAAAACAACAACTTTATGGGGGGAAAAAAAGAAGGGGTAAGTCAACATTTTAAAATGCTACATAAATCTACAGAACCAGCAGCAAAAAGGATCTAGTTAATTCTCTGGGTCTTTGGCAAAACAACTCTTAAACCCTATCTGTGTAACAACTTAATTTTCATGCATAAATATTTTTCTTTCCACACCTTTACCTTATATTGTGGTTAATATTCATTTTATTTAAACGATATGCAATGGTTAATGGTCAGTGAGTGATATTAATTTAACAGTCATTATTCATTATTTAAATTAATATTCCATTTATTTAAATCATATTTAGCAATTAATATTCAATATATTTAGAACAATATTCCATTTACTTAAATCATATTTGTGGTTAATATTCAGTTTATTTAAATTGTATCTACTTCCGTTTAAACCCTTTACTGTTGGAGTTGAAGGTCTGTACACACTTAATAATCTCTCATTTACCCAAAATCACTTACATGGCAGTAGGAAATCACCAAATTTTAATAGAAAAACATAAAAGAGACCAATATGCCCTCTGAGTTGCCAAAATGCATTCCATTGAGTACTATAGAAGGCTGTCTCAGGCCTTCATTTTAAGCTCTTTATCCATATTTCAGACCACTTTTGGAAAGCTTACTTATTGCATTCCCCAACAGAGTAGATTAGAAGAAATTGAGAAGTGTCCATTATAATTTGATAATAAAGAAAAAAGTGTACAATGCAAAAAATAAAAATAAAAAGACTAAATTTAAGCAGTCTTAAGTCATTTAGCATAGGGACAAACTGCTTCTCCAAAACGTAGTAACTCTAAGGATATTATCGTTTTGCCACAAAGGGAAGTTTTTGATGTTCTTTATGAAATTGCAAAGTCATCAAGGAAGGTTAAAACACGGAGCATACTTGGTTTAGGAAGACTGGGAAGAACAAAATATGTTTTGGATTTTTTTTATTATTAAAACAATCATACTACGGATGTTTCACGTATGAATAAATTGCTTTCATGTGAATCATTTCATTCCCAAATAAAACCAGATAGATGAGGGACTATGTGCTATATTTGGAAACCATTACCTTTTAGTCTTTTATTTCCTATATTTCTGTAATAAGTGATTATAGTTTCTATAACCATTTCTGATGGGTAATTTTTTTTACAAATTTTTTATTGTTGTAATGGTATAATAGTAGGTAGTATTTTTATTTGATTATTTTTTGGCTCCCTTTTCCAACTTCTCTAAATAATCTATACTTCATTAACTATACAGGTCTTTCATCTTACACTTCATCAGTATTATCTGGAAGAATGCTTATTTTTTTTACAAGTATTATACTGCTGGGTCATTTGCAAATGGTATATCATCTAGCTGTGATATAGTCATAAATCGTCAATTTTTTTTCTGAAATTGCGCTTGAGAGGTATGTTCTGACTTTTTCTTGTGCCATTTACTTTATTTTTTCTTAGAACCACATGTGTCTTTAAAATTAATTCTATTTATTTTATGTTTTTCTCTAACTTTTAAAAATATTTATAATTCTCATAACTCTGTTTCAGATTTACTGTTTCTGTATCCACTTACCAAAACAAAACAAACAAAAAAAAATTGTCATCCAGTTGATTCCACTCAGAAGATACTAAAAATCTTGATACAACTCAAATACACAAAGACCTCCTTAGTTTCCATTTATACACAGGAGAAAACTGCTGTATTTATATTACGCCAAACTAAGGGCACAGTTCAACTTGAAATAACCTTCCTATATGGAAATCACATAGTCAAAAATGTCATTGCTTGGTATCATTATAATTTTCCTGAGTACAGTTACTAATTCTCAGAACACCTAGAAATTAACAGTTGTGCTGGATCCAAACTGGGTACATACTCTCCTCTCTAAATAACTAACCAGAGAATAAGAATACAGTGATATGTAACATAACTTTCTATCGTGCCTAAGGGTTAAAAGTCAAAAACCACTGCACAGGAGATAAGAAGAAATGACTCTCAATGGTTGTTAAATGATACCTAAGTTTAAATGCTGCAATAAAGTACATTTGGGTAAATAAGTATTAGTGTTCCAAACAAATAATAAATACAGTTTTGAATCTAATAAAATATATCAAATTTTCTTTCTAAAGAAAATTACTAATTTGTTAATGTCCTATAACATAGTAAAACATTATGATGGTGCAATGTTCAAAAACTGTTTTATGGGGAAATGGTTGAATTTTATTAAAAAATTGGTTTTTAAATTTAATTTAATTTTAAATTCAACCACTGATCATATATTTATTGAAAATGACACATATTTTGGTACAAAGTATTTTACTTATAGTATGATATTAAAAATTGGTTACAGTTTTACCATAGAATTGAAATCTTAAGGTTATCAGAAAATTATAAAAATTCTCTGAAGGTTTATATATCTTAGCCACAGGCTACAATACGGTTTCAAATGCTAAAGGAAAGACCTTAACAACAAAGCTCTCCTCAAATACACATTTCTAAACCTTGACTTTCTGCTTTTCCAGTAAGAGAACAGTTTCATTTCACAAAAAATAATGGTATTTTTAAGTGCCATGTGAATATATTTTTCACATTTTTAAAATCTGGGAATCTCATCTTTGTTTCACTCAATTACAACAAATAATATTGAATCCCAATCAGTCACCTAAATTCTACCTCAGAAAGCGTACACATATAAATCAAAAGACATAAACTTTCTGGTTTGAAGTTATTTATATAAATATTACTCACAACAATAATAAATAACTGCCACATCAGGAACTAATATTGGCACATATTTGCTGAGTATTGTAGAACCAAGTAACTTGGCAGCTTCTCGCAGAAGAAAGTTTGGAAATGACAGAAGAGCAATCTTCATTCCAGCACATTTTAATTTGTTGTTTAGAACTCTGTGGTGTCAGACTACAAACTTATAAACATGATTTTTTTAAAATGCCTTTGGAAAATGCCCTGCTACAATATTTATAGCTTATTATATGCAAAGTATAAAGCGCTGACTTCTAAATCAGTTGCATGAATTATAACTCAGTGCCATGATGACATGAATAATAATGCAAAAATCAGATTCGTAATATACAGAAATGTTGGTTGATAGATTGAAAAATTGATATTCAAATCAGGCATTTAAAATGTATGAACAAAAATTTTTAATCATCGTGAAAATATCATTTGGGGGATTAATGTTACCATTATAAATAGAAATCCATGTATTTTTCACGTTTTGCTGCCACTGTCCGTATTTACATGAGAAAAGTTTAGACAATGCTATGTAGTCAATCCAAATTATTTCAGATATGACAGAATTGTCATCAGCCAAAACCTGTACTGAAAATATTAACACATTGGAGGACTTCTGCGAAACATAGCGCTATAGTCAGAAACACAATGTCATTCCTCCACAGCAAAGATCCGAAAAACTAAGTAAAACAGAGTCACACATCAGTCCTGAAACCCTAAGCATCAAATGAAGAGATAAAGAACTCAGCCAAGCACCAAATGGAATAAGAAACTGACCAAGAACACGGAGCGAAGAGAGATACATGAAGAGGTCCCCTATCAGCTAACGCAGCATGAATCTTGGACTCGGTGAACTGGGGATATGAGAAAGCAGCTTCACGGAGCTTCCAGCAGGTGACAGAACAACTGGTAACCAACGATATATGTTTACACACCCCCTACCCTTCTTCACCACCACTTGGCCTCCTCTACTTCCTGTGGCCAGTCTCATGGCCAGCAAGCACCAGCTTCACCCTGGTGTCACTTGGATTCCACCTGCCCCGCACTGGCCAGCTCCCTGAGTGCCATTTGTTGGCTGCTATTGTTGCTTTCTTCCACTTCATTAGATCTCTTCCTTACCTCTCACCACCTCTCCCTCCTTCGTCTCAAATGCCTGGCTCCGTGACCAACCTTGTTTCTTCCTGGCAGGCTGTGAGGCATCGCTTGACTGAGGAACTGCTTCCTGGACCATGCCGCCTCGCTGGTGGGATCCCCAAGGCTTTTTTGGTTTGTTTGTTCTGATATGTTCGGTTTTGATTTGTTTGTTTGATTGTGTTCTTTTTCTTCTCTTGGCTTGGGAGCCCGTTCTGGCTGGGCAGCGCCACGCAGTTTGGGAGATACTCGCTTACTCTGCGCAGAAGCACAGTGACATCCCTGGGGGAATTTCTTTTTTCTTGTTTTTTGTTTTTGTTTTTGTTTTTTTGGGTTTTTGTTTGTTTGTTTTTTTGGGTTTTTTTGTTTATTTGTTTTGTTATCTTCTCTCTCTTTTTCCCTTTTTGTCTTTCTTGATTTCCATTTTCTGATATACTCATTTTTTTCTTTTATCCTTTTTTTTTATTTTTGTTTTTCTCCATTTCTCAGTCTCTTATCTCTCTGCTCCAATAGCAAGCTCCCTTAACACTCACTTTTGTTTGTGTGTATTTTTTTTCGCTCCAGTTCCTCTCTCCTCTTTCTCCTGTTTCCCATATCCATCTTAGCTCCACACATCACAATCTCCCTCTTCCTTCCTGCCTACCTGCACTGTGTGCTGCACTTCACACCCTCAAGTAGCACAGGCACAGCCTAACAGAGCCTGCCCTGAACTGATTCCTGACCCACCTTGTTGGCCCTAGTACATGCTACAAACAACACATCCCAGCAACTCCCCTTCAGCTGGACCTACCCTGCTGTACCATACCTGAGTGACTGACCCTGTCCATTGGAGAAGGAAGTGAAAAGTATTGTGCCCACAGACAAGCAAACAACAAACAACACAGACCACCTGCTCAGACATAACGAAATAAAACAAAAAAGCATGACGAAACAAACAAATCTACAATCTATAAGGAGGAAAATAACTACTGAATGCCCTAAAGACAGCAGACAATATTAAAACATGTACAAAAACAGGATCAGATGGTTCCAGTAGGTGTCCAAAGTAAAACA